TGTCCTTAAGAAAACTCTTAAGTGCCTAAATACATTAAGTCAGTACGGCTTTGCTGGAACAAGTGCATTTAGGCTGGTAGCCAAAGTTAATGTGTTCAGTACTGCAGATCTTACATAACGCTTTCTGTGCGAAGTTCTCACAGTGCTTTACAAACACTTATTTATTAGGTCTCCGCCCTTTGCGCACACTTCTTAAAATAGTACGGCTTAGATTCATGTTCTGCAACTCTGATAGTGTGGACTTCTGTGAATATGACCAACCAAAGAGAACTGAGCTCTTTCTCCTGCGCCTTTAACAGCTGACAACCCAATGCACAGATTTTAATCAGAATTGAAGTTTTTCCCATTTGTTTACATGCCAGGAAAAGCTGCTGAGCTCAGGGATGGTAACCGTAGCTGTAAAAATGCAGAAGAGGTTTATAGATAAATATAATAGATAAATAAATGGTGTTTCCTGCTTGGCAGGGGGTTGGACTCGATGGCCCTTGTGGTCTCTTCCAACTCTATGATTCTATGATTCTATGATTCTATAAACATAGATCAAAACCCTCAAATCATTTAATTAGAAGTCTATAAAGTACAAGTAACTTTACGGTTCCATGTGAACTGTAATAAAAAAAACCCCACAGCCTTCTGATTTCAGAATCAGTATCCAAAGTAAATTTAGGTAATTTGTTAGTTTAGTGGTTTCAGCTAGGATTAGGAATAAATTTCAAATTTATTGGGAACTACATCAGGATTTAAGCATGGAAGTATCATTCTGAGGCATTCTCAGTCATTCAACTTTTTCCTTTAATGGAAAGAAGTAATAGTCCATTTCCTCAGGAACATTTAAAAAAATATTTTATTTATAAATATCATGATCATGCCCTTGGGGTTCATGGTATCCTCACTTAAAGCTGAAAAGTTACTGAGTAGCATATTTCTGTCATTGTTATCATCTTAAAGATTATATATATGTATGCTACATAGTTGAAAAGGAGACTTTACCAGCTTGAAATAATTTGCCTTGCATTGCCTACTTTAACTCTTATTATATCCTGGAGCGAGCATTGGTTTTGTGGTGATCAGCTCTAAAAGGATTACATTGAATCATTGAAGGATGACTAGGATGACTAATTTATATGATATAAACTGCTGCTCAGAAATGGCTAATGAAGACTACAGGATACACCTGTTTCTCTGTTGCTTTTAAGCGCTGCATTGTTCTTTCCCAAAGGTCAAAGCCTGAAGTTTCTCAATTCTGAAAATTAGTGTGTTCCACAATATACTCGGTCACCAAGTTGTTTTGACAGTATTGTGGTTTGAATCATCGACACGTCCACCTACTACTGCTCTGGATTGAACTGCATAAGGAGATTTATTTTACAAGTAGGACCTGTCAGAATGCATGCAGCAATACCTTACATCAATATCCTACGTATTTAAGATTTAATCACCAGGTTTGGGGATTGCTTGTGGCAATGAAGCCTAATCTCTCTTGAAAATGTCAACAAGGCTATCACATTTAGTTTTGAGTTTTTCCCATCATGGCTCCTGAAAGTCAAAGTTTGAGAATTCTGTCCTCCTTAAAGACTGTAGTGATTCAGTCACTTATAAAATAAAATAAGCTAGTGTTAGGTCTTCTCTTCTAAGGAAGGGTGGTAACATATGCTGCAACTCCTGGGGTTCATGAGTGGTAGATCCTTCTTCAACCCTTTTCGGGCTGGTTTCTGACCTTGCTAGGCAGAGCAGACCTAAATTGTCATGGGCCAGGAGTCGACTTCACCTGCTGAGCAACAGCCTGAAGGAGCAGAAGTTGAAGTGACTTTACCTGCTGCTGATCAGCCTTCTTGCTGATGAGAACCAGCTGGCTCCAGCTTTCTTAAGCAGGGCCTCAGTCAGTTGCTGGAAACAACGTTCGTTATTCCTGGCCAGACCTTGCTGCTTCTTGTGACCTTAGACCCTCGGCTTTCTTGACCCACCTTGGATCGTCTGACTACGTGAACTGAGATATTCCTGACCTTAGGACTGGACTGAACCTTGTATATACGGACTTTGCCTCCAGGCAAGTACCGCCCCTGAGACTCCTTCCACTGAGCTCTGCCATGGCTGGCAGCAAAGGTCTACAACATCAATGTCCTGTCCTAGCAAATAAGTCTGTGGGCAAAGTCAGATGCTGTAGCACCACAGAGTGAGCAACCTGCCCCAACAATGACTAGTGATGGAATGAGGCCATTTGAGCCTCTGCCTCCAAACCACCGTCCTTCTGCTCCACACCTTTTGTGAGAACTGCGGCCCTTAAGGGACCAACTCTCAATCCTGCAGACAGACACTTCTTCTGTCCTTCCTGATCTTCTGCCTTATGTGCTCCCTGCTTTAGTGCAATGGTGAGGTATGTGGGGAGGTGCTTGGTTTCTTACACCCAGGGAAAGGTGCCTTTGAGGGTCCCAGTTCTGCCTCTATACCCCCTGGTGTTGTGAGATCTGGGCCAGGATGGAGGTTCCTGTACATGAATCTTAGATTTAGTGGACCTGATCGCCGGCACCAGGCTCAGTGTCACAAACCTTAGCCAGATGCAGCCCCTTAGTTAGGGTCTTGCTTGCTGTATAACTCTGGGGTCATAACACTAATTTGGCCCAGTGGGTGACATTTGCTGAGATTGATAGTGACAATGTGAATCAGTTAATATTGAGAGACGGCTTTGGATTTGCTGAATCGGTGAGCTCAGACATCTAATTGGGGTCTCACAGCTAACCTTGTTGATCTGCATATCTGCCTCTTGCTATATCAACAGTTCAACAACATCTTGAGTTGGTGGGGAGCAGGAAAACATGACCATTTACAAAGCTAGGTGAAAGGAACCAAAAATGGATGCCCATTATACAAGTGCAAAGTTCCATTTTGAAGCCTTATATCCAGTACCATGAAGTACCCTGCTTGGTTATATATGCAAGATGCCATTTTGATTGCTTCCAGGTCATCTGTTTATTGAGCATATACCATGTATATCAAAACATGTTAAACTTGCTCATTCTGCCTTGGACCTCTGCCCTCAAGGCACCGCTGCTTAACAGGTAGTTCTACCAGGGCCGGCCCACCTATGAGACAAGGTGAGATGACTGCTTCTGGCAGCAGGATCCACAGGGGCAGCAGCATGCAGATAATAGAATCCTAGAATTGCAAGGGACCCAGAGGGACCCTTCAATGTAGATCTTCATTTCCCCCTTCTTGTTCCTGTTGTAGATCTTCACTCACCCCTTCTTCCTTGTTGGGGAAGGGGCACCATTCTATGGTTCACCTGAGATGCCAAAAAGTCTGGCCCTGAGTTCTATGTCTGGCCCAGTCCTTTCTGAGGGAGAGATGCAATGTGCTTGTGAGATTTGAGGTGTGTGCACACCTTGTTAAATATACAAATTATGTTCTAAAAGCTTTCAGGACAGATTTCTCCCACCTCCCCTTTTAGATAGAAGTACTGTTTCTGGGAAATGGATGTGGGTGGCGATCAGGGCTTGCTGATCAGAAGGTCGGCAGTTCGAGTCCCCGCGACGGGGTGAGCTCCCGTTGTTCAATCCTAAGCTCCTGCCCAAGTGCCAGTTCGAAGCACGTCAAGTGCAAGTAGATAAATAGGTACCGCTCTGGCGGGAAGGTAATGCCTGTTTCCATGCGCTGCTCGTGGTTTAGTCAGAAGCGGGTTAGGTAATGCTTGGCCACATGAGCTGAAAGCTGTCTGCGGACAAACGGCCGGTCTCCCTCGGACTAGTAGAGCCGAGATGAGACGCAACCCCAGAGTCATCGCGTGACTGGCCTAATGGTCAGGGGGTACCTTTACCTTTTACAGGACTAGGAAGTAATTTGACCTCACAGCTTGCCCATGGAGGCGAGGTCAATTCTGTGTCCAGGGCGGCTGTCTACCCAACTCCACCTGCGTACGCAGGCTGAGACCCTACCCAGCTGGCGTAAGCGTGGGGGGTGCCAAGGGGGCCGGCCGGCACGGCGCAACCATCTGGGGTTAGGGCCAATCCACGGGGTTTAGGGGGCGCAAATCCACGGGTTAGGGGGCGCAAATTACTTGCCTTGCCCCGGGTGCTGACAACCCACGCTACTCCACTGACCCTACCTGCCTGCGGACTGCCTTGCCAGAGTGGTCCATGCTCTGGTTATCTCCCACTTGGACTACTGCAATGCGCTTTCCGTGAGGTTACCTTTGAAGGAGACGAAGAAACTGCAACTAATCCAAAATGCAGCAGCCAGACTGGCGACCGGAAGGAGCTGCCGGGACCATATGACACCGGTCCTGAAATATTCACATTGGCTCCCAGTACATTTTGAAGCACATTTCAAAGTGTTGGTTGGTGCTGACCTTGAAAGCCCTAAACTGCCTAAACAGTGGTACCTCTGGTTACATACTTAATTCGTTCCTGAGGTCTGTACTTAACCTGAAACTGCTCTTAACCTGAGGTACCACTTTAGCTAATGGGGCCTCCTGCTGCCGCCGTGCCTCCGGAGCACGATTTCTGTTCTCATCCTGAAGCAAAGTTCTTAACCCAAGGTACTATTTCTGGGTTAGCGGAGTCTGTAACCTGAAGCGTATGTAACCTGAGGTACCACTGTACCTGAAGGAGTGTCTCCACCACCATCATCCTGCCTGGACACTGAGGTCCAGCTCCGAGGGCCTTCTGGAGGTTCCCTCACTGTGACAAGTGAGGTTACAGGGGACCAGGCAGAGGGCCTTCTCGGTAGTGGCACCCACCTTGTGGAACGCCCTCCCATCAGGTGTCAAGGAAATAAAGAACTACACGACCTTTGGCAACCATGTACAGTATAGGAAAGTTTTTTAATGTGTGACATTTTATTATGTTTTCATATGTGTTGAATTGTTATTATTAGAAAATGTAGGGTCCGGCGACCATGACGACTCGAACGACGACGGGGACCGAGGAAACGCTTCAGCTGAGGGAAAGCAACGCGCGCTCTTCGCTCCCCTGCCAGCTGGCGCGCGCGAGCGGCAAGAGCGGGCAGGCAAGCGCGCGGCTCCGCCTGGGAGCCCTCGGCCGAGATGGGCCCGCGAGCTGCTGAGGCGAGCGGGGAGGGCGGGCTTGATTACGCATTGCGGCTGCAGAAAAGCTGAAGTTGCCGCCGCCCGGGCACAGCCAGAGAGAGACAGACAGACAGCCAAGCCGCGCGCCTGGTGCAGAGCGAGGCGACTGCTGGTCGGGGAGGCGGGCTGACGAAGGGGCAGCGGCCCGGAGCCAGGAGGGAGGGCAGGAGGGCTGGCTAAACCCAGCGCCGCTCCGCCTCGAGGGGCCGGGAGCGCAACGAGCGGCGGTGGGCGGAGTGTCAGCCCTCTCCGCCGCCGCCGCTGCTGCTTGGCTGCTACCTATTCATTCAGCCAGTCAGTCACCTAAAATGGCTGGAGAGACGAGAAGGTGGAGGAGGCGCCGGAGGTGAGGCGCGCAGCTCCCTCGGGCCGCCTCCCCGCCGAACAGCGGCTCCCGCCTCCTCCGCTCGTCCCTTCTCACCTTGGGTTTCCGTGCGCAATTCGAATTAAATGACACGCTTTTTCTCCCGAGCCCGCCGCGCCTCCCAGCTCTGAGCCATGTCGGCCGGCCAAGACGAGAGCTCCGTCCGGGTTGCTGTCAGGTAAGGCGTCGGGGTGTTGCTTCTTGTTCGAGGACAACCCCCCTCCCTCCCTCCCCCCTTCCTTCCTCCTTCCTTCCTCCCTCTTTTCTTTGTTACCTGCTATCTCTTGTGGGGGAAATAGAGCTGGGGAGATTTGGCTGGGAGAGAGGGGGAAAAGAGTGGCGGGGGTCTGGCTCTGGGACGCAGGCCCGAGGAGGTCCGAGAGGGGGACATGTTGCTCCCGTCGCTCCCTCCTCGCTTTTGGAGCGGGGCTGGCAGGTAGCTGAGGCGGCAGCAGGGAGCCGCCGCCTCGCCAACTAACGGCCTGCTGCGAGGGCCAGCAGTCCGACCGAGGCCGTTGGCCGCCAGGTTAATTCAAGGAAGGGCTTGGCTGGTCCCGGAGAGGCAGCTTCGCCATAGGTGGATCTGGGAAACTGCTGCCCGATCGCCAAGTTATCGAGGACGGACTGGGATGCTGGCGGGATCAGGCTTCCCTGCAGGAGCTTCAGCTGCTGGCCTGACCCGAGAGCTGGGCTCTCTCTGCTTGCAGCTGTTGCACGGAGGAATTCGGTTTCCTTCGGATGCTGCATATTTAATCTCTGGTGTTTAATGGTGCATCAGCTGTGTCCGAGAAACTGGTGCGTGTGGTGGACGAGGGGAGGAAGGAGAATCCAGACTTTTAGGCCTGGTCTGTGGCAAGACTTTAAAAAAAGGTGGTTGATGAATGTATTCCTGCCTGGGATTTGAAACACTAAGCGATTGCACGGGCAGTGTGTGCGGTGTTTGTTTGTTTTTTAAGCTGTCCCTTTTTTGGCTTGTGCTGAATTGCATTCCAGAGACTGCTGTGCTGGGTCTGTGGGGCTTTTGTTGCAGCCAGCCAGCCAGCCCAGGACTGTAACTGGATTGGCTAGTTGCAATTGTAAAGAAGTACCAGCCAGTGAATTCATCCGTGCTTTCTGCTCAGGGATGGAAAATTGCAACATCATCCTCCGGCACTAAAAAATTAATGAAGCCTTTACAATAGAACCTGCGTGTTGGCTAGGCTGCTGCGGAGAACTTGCCACATCCCCTCCCTCAGAAGTTATCAAATAAGTTTTTCCATGTTAGCAGTTTTCTTGCTGGAAAGATGGGCACATTTAATTATCTAGTAATACTCCCAAGGACATATATGTGAGTAGTGTGTCCAGTTTGATCAAGCAGCACTCTAAGAATGAATAAGGAGGTTTGGGTTAGTGCCCCTTAGTACCATAGTTAACTGAAGGAGGCAGGGATTTTGAAGTTGTCTGGTAAGACTCTTACACTTTTGCCAACTGTGAGGGGCACCAGTAAGCAAACCTTAACTTCACACAGGTACAAGAACTGAGAACTAGACGATCCAGGCTTAACACATCCAGTTCAAAGAGGTGTTTCAAAAATATCAAGCAGTTTATAAATGCCTGGAAATTAACCTTTCCAAGTATATGAAACTTGGGGGGGGGGTGAATTCTGAGCATTGTAAGTGTGTTCGTCATTTACTTGGCTAAAACATGGCAGCAATCGTTTCTGCCTAAACTTGTACAGCCATCACCTTGTCCCACCAATACAAGGGTGATCCTACAGTGCGAAACCCATTCAGATGCTTCCCCCAAAATGCTATCTGTTTCATAAAATTCTAATAGAAGTAACAACGCATTTACAAAATACACAGACCCCCACCTTTATCTGGGTTTCAACTGTATGAAATAACGATATAGTTCAAAAAACAATGAGCTGTATAAAAGAACGAATGAAATCAATCGCAATGATGTCTTTTAGCTGCAAGAAACATATTTAGCTTTCACTGTTCTGCCAGAACTTATCACTTATTTAGCATTCGTGAGGCTAAACGACGTCTTGATATTGAACATGCAGAGGTTTTGGTTACTGACGTTTGGTAATACTTGCATTGCAAGTGAGTTTGGCAGCGCACCTCGTGCATGCAAAGGCAACGCCTAGTGAGCTGTAGGATGAAACTCAGTGAATACTGCAAGGATTCGTTTTCTTCAAAGTGATGTGGTGATGTCACATTAATGTTGTCACTGAATTCACGTGCATTTGCTTTAGGGCTCATGGAGGGTGTCACCGGCTCTGTAACTGGGCAATAGTCATATCAAGGAAATGCCTCATATTGCTATAGGTTGATGGTTTTTGTACTTAAAATCGGTGAATTGCATTGTACTTTTAATAGCCATACTTACTGTTGATAGATGACTACAGTAGGGGGCGGCGGGAATTAATTGGTCATAGGTGGAAATGATTACAGCCCAGTCTTTAATATTGATGTCAAAATGTTAATTATAACATCCTTCCAACTTTGGCACAGCATCACCAGCTGCGACATGGGATACCCTTCTGTAACATTGATATATCATATAATTTGATCCAACCACTAGGATACTACCTATGCTTTAACCCATGGGTAGGCAAACTAAGGCCCGTGGGCCAAATCCAGCCCAATCGCCTTCTCAATCCGGCCCACAGACGGTCTGGGAATCAGTGTGTTTTTACATGAGTAGAATGTGTCCTTTTATTTAAAATGCATCTCTGGGTTTTTTGTGGGGCATAGGAATTTGTTTGTTTGTTTTTTCAAAATATAGACCGGCCCCCCATAAGGTCTGAGGGACAGTGGACCGGCCCCCTGCTGAAAAAGTCTGCTGACCCCTGCCTCTTATATCTGCATCCTTGGAATGCACTACTACAGTATTTTATGATTATTATTTTTTAAAAAATAGAATAGAAGGCAATACAAAGTCAGTTAAAATTCAAGCAAAAACAACACAAATAGGTTTAATTGGGTATTCTAGCAATCCAAACATTTTTCTAAAAAGAGAAGTTTTAGCTGCTCTCTTAAGTTAATAAGAATATCAGCTAGCCATGTCTCCCTGTGAGGGGGCGGAATGGCCTGTGTCTAAATTCTCGCAAATAATGGAAATGATTATCAGCAGATTTTAACATGTGAGTAGGAATGTCTTGGGAGAAGCACTCCTTTCAGATAAGCTGGTTGTTGGGCAGGGATATCACAGAGAATCATAGAGCTGAGGGTCATCTAGTGCAACCCACTGCAAAATGCAGGAATATGCAGCTGTCCCATTCAGGTATTGAACCTGCAACCTTGGCATTGCCAGCACCACGCTCTAACCAACTGAGCTATCCATCTATCAAACAAGGGGATGCCCGGAGTTTGCACCAATGTGTTGTGTGTATGAAGAGAACAAAGTATGCATATAAAAAGTGAAACATCACACTGTAACCAACTCTTTCCTACTTTGAGGTGAAGGCTTGTGTTCTGGAGAAGCATGAAACTAGCTTGCCTCATCTTAAAGGGCTTTTGATTGGTTTCTCTAACAGCAGCCCCTGATGCCACATAGCAAAACCTTTTTGAATAATGGAATGAATATATATGGCATAAGAAGAGGCACTGCGATTCAGATCAAATATCACAGTTAGGTTCATGCAAGCTTAGAATCCCTTCCTTGGAAAAAGAAACAAATTTTAATTGTGTGACAGGCCTGTTGTCTTATGCACTTATTTCTCACAACAGTTAAGACCGAAGCAATACTCCAGCCTTCTCGATAGAAATTAACAAGATACGGCTTTAATGTGGCAACCGTGCTTGGTCCATGACATAGGATACTTTTAATGATATTTCTGCTGCTGCTGCTAGTATTGGAACAGTATGTCCGAGATACAATCCAAAGAGCTTCATTGGTTATGTCTGAAGTCTTGTATGCTTCAATCAGGAACTTTAACTTGGGTTTGGAACAGCCCCTTCCCATGTTGTATTGCAACATGTTTTTGAAACCTGCAAGTTTCAACAGTGTATTACCACACACAGAAAGGTATCGGAGGGTTTTGGTTTTGAACTGGGGCAGTGGTTAGATGAAAGAGATCCATTGAGTTGGCATTCCAGTATGAATATTTACATAGCAGACCTTTACGGGGCTATGTTACATGAGGAAACAGTTCCTAAACTGCTGTGGACACACATGAAAGAGGCATTGATCACATAGTTCACTGGATTCCAAGAGACCTTGAGATATAAAACTAGATATTTGAATAGCAAGGGACATGGGTGGCGCTGAGGTCTAAACCGCTGAGCCTCTTAGGCTTGCTGATCAGAATGCTCAGTGGTTCGAATCCCCGCAATAGGGTGCGCTCCTGTTGCTCTGTCCCAGCTCCTGCCAACCTGGCAGTTTGAAAGCACGCCAGTGCAAGTAGATAAATAGGTACCACTGCGACAGGAAGGTAACCGGCATTTCCGTGCACTCTGGCACTCGTCACTGTTCTCTGTGCGCCAGTAGCTGTTTAGTCCTGCTGGCCACATGACCCGGAAAACTGTCTGTGGACAAACACCGGCTCCCTCGGCCTGAAAGCGAGATGAGCGCCGCAACCCCAGAGTCGCCTTTGACTGGACTTAACCGTCCCGCGGTCCTTTACCTTTACCTTTTTATCTATTTGGATAGAGCAGTTGAATTGGAACTGAAATTGTGTTTCTTTCAGGCTCGTATGTATTATATACATATAGGGGTAGGGGATTCAATATGTGATTCAGGTCAGCAGGTATCAAATGTCTTGTTTTTTAAATACGCACCTGAAACTTCTTAAGTATAATCAAACATTGATTTCTTTTCTGTGTAATACCCACCAAAGGTACCGTTTAGATTTTAAATGCCTGGGTAACGTTGCAGAAGCTTGATTATGATTAACTTGGAACATACTGCCTGAGAAGTTGTACATGATCAAAGACGCAGAGGAAATGGCAAACCTTTTAGCTGAATCTGTGGTTCATCACCAAGTCATAATTTGAAGCTACTGTCTTGCATTAGGGAATGACAACAGTGAATGACTGTTGTTCTGGGAAGTTTGATATTAGTTGCTTAGATTATTTGCCAGAAGGCTTTTTAGGGCTTTCAGGCTTCACTCAACAGGAATATCTGGTACACTGCTCGCTACCCCATAATTATGCATACTATTTTGGAATAGTCTGTGTGCAAGATGATAGC